GTTGTAATACTCTATATTTAACTACAAGTTAATAAAAATACCTATGTTCATTTTAAAATAATCGCTGATTTTGCTTACAACGCCCCCCCTTTAACCTTAAACTCGTATTATTTTTAGACCAAGGTTTTCCTGCACAATCACCGTCTGTTGCCACCCCCCCCATCTATTTGTTCTCACGGAAGAACCCCTGCTACTAGCAGAAGCAGCTCTAAGCCTAACATGCTTTGTCCTTGCTAGGGCAGAAAGAAACCTTACCTAAACTGTTCAGAGGTTGAGGTGAGGGGGAAGGCAAGCGAGCACTGTCCAACACCCCTGAGTTGGGGCGACTGCAGCTGCCTAGTCCCTTCCCTGGACCCAAGGAACTTAAAACCCAAATCTGAAACTGGAATGAAATCCGAGTTTTAATGCCACCTTTCACTCACAGGTCTCATTTTTTTTTTTCTTAGTATCTTAAAACACTTAGCCTCACTGCTTAATGAGTGCTTGTGGAAGGGAGAAAGTTTGACTTTAAGACCAATTAGCTTTGCTGACTACTGTGTAACTCTTAAATGAGCCATGATTCTTTAAGTAAATGGAGGGGAGAAATCTTAAAAGACTTTTTTTTCCTTCTTACTGTTAAAATAACATTATTTAGAAGTCAACCTAATGCCTCTCCTTACCTTCCACTGTTTTAGGATAAAGAGAAAAACATGAGGTTTGTGGTATCCACTGTTAAACAGAACCGGACAATATGAAAACTATGTTCTCATGTTAAGACATTCTGTCAGATGAGATGTCCAAAGTGTTTCTCCAACTTTTGTGTGACCTGCAGAATTGGAGATGGCTTAGCCTCCCTATAACTTCAAGTTTGCTTTACAAAGCTTTGAAAAGTAAAACAGATAATTTCATCTTCAGATAGAATAAAAAATTAATTTGAGTAGCAAAATAAGTAACTGCTTTTAAATGTACAGTAGTATGTCCATTCTAAAAACAAAACCTAAACCTATGTTAGGAAAACTTTTCAAATAATGCTTTTTATTGAATTCTCCAGTAGTAGTTGAAATAAAAATCTACACTAACTTCTACGAAAAGATCTATTTATACCACTTAATTTCCTCTTCTCTGATTCTACATTTCACTTTGCAACCTGCAGACCTTCATGGTTTCCCAAATGGGGAACCCAGCCCCCTCATAAATATTTCTGAGAAGTTGCTCAGAGTGGGACACGCAAAAATATGGCTCCTCTGGCAAGTATTGCTGTCACCGTTTGACTACGTTTTAATACTGTTACTCCAATTCACGTAACCAATCTTCCATGAGGATGGCAGGATGAACCTGGTTAGCTAGCTTCTGATGAGGACTTCAGGGTGACCAGACCCTGGAATAAAAGATGATCAACTCTAGGGTAAAAGGGAGGAAAAAATTCCTTCACAGCTACAAATCTTCACAAGCCTTCCAACAGTCACGGGGAAGGAACAATCCGGGGAAGTGAGTGGGGGGCAGGGAAGGTACACAAGAGTACAGCCAAAGGGAATACTGCAAAATGCTTCTCCAGCCTTGTCAGAAAAACTTCCTGCCATGCCAGGAACTGGATGCATCTGTGCCTATTTTCCAGGAAAGGGCCCATCTTGGTGCTTTGCTATCCCAAATTTCCTAAGCATGAAGATTAGTTAGTGGGGGCAGCAGGACTATGGTTTCCACAATCTGGTCAGGTTAAGTGGTCCCACTGGCTTTCCCTGGGGGGCACTCCGCTCTCAATTCACGGAGAAGCCCCCCCCCCCAAGCTCAGAGAATCCATTCTCTTTGCCTGGAATGGTGAGCTGGCAGTTAAGGGGTCCACTTCCTGGCTTTGAAGAGAAAACGCCCAGGAAGATGCAGATGTTTCTAGGAACCATTCCATTCTAGAGCCCTATTAACCTGTCTCTCCTAAGGAATCTCTGAATCTCCTCTCCTGATTTGGTAAGCACTAAACTATGAAGGTTTTCTCTCATTTCCCCCCTCCTCAGGTCTGTAAACTGGCTTTTTGTCTATACCCACATTACCTCCTTCACTACTCACTCCAAAACTTTGCTCTTTTGGAGTGACGTGTTCTGTCAAATAGATTAAAATAAAGTACATTATCTGTTTACAGGGAATACAGAATAGAACCGGGTCAGAGGTACAAAACATGGACACTGACACTGCGGTCATACAAAATATATATAGAAGTACCCAGCATGAACAGTTTTTGCCTTCTTTTTAGCATTTCCCCACATTTTTTTTTTCTTCTGTGGATCCTCTGGAATTAAGATCGAGCTTCCTCTGCAGTGTCTCTGAAATTCATCACATGATTGGAACATACTGACGGGTTCATTTTCTGTCCAAAGCAATGAGCGGTATACATGAAAGTTTTCCTCACATACAATATTAATAAAGTTTATTTACAGTGTAAGCTTTCTGATGCTAAGGGCTGAGACAGGATGGAAGGCTTTGCCATACGTATCGCATTCATGAGGTTCCCTTCTGGAATGAATTCTCTGATGTATGTGAGATGTCAATGGTCACACACGTCAAACACGGCAAACTCTCTGTACAAAGTTAGCACAGTCTCACTTTTATGCCTTGAATAAAATACTAAGTGTCTTAACCTATCAAGATGCCTCATATTCTGAGATCTATTATTCTCAGGCTGTAGCTTTGTCTGCCAGGCTGGAGCAGAAACAAATTCCCCACAATCTGAAGGATTTCACTTCTCTTCCTGGCAGGTTTATTTAATAAGGTATTTTCTTAAAAACCCTTCAAAAACTTCCATTAGGTCAACTAGCATGCTAATGGTTAACTACGGAGTACTTCAAGCCGGTCAAGAACTTCTGAATGTCCTGACACTAATGAGCTGTGGTAAGCCCTTCTGACCATGACCCAGTTACACTTCGCGCTGGGCAGCTGATAAATGGACGTGACGTGAATGGTTTTAATAAACAGCCCAAGCCTGGCTTCTTCAGAAAACAGCGTTTTCAAATGGCTGCTTGAAGGAGTGCATCTGCCGAAGACCCGAGGCAACCACGGTGACCACCCAATGGTTGGCATAGGACGGAAACGCGAGGCACAGGTTGCTCTGATCTTTCAAAACACAAATAATGACTGTGTGATGGCAGCATGTACTTGCGGCCAAAGAAAGGCCCACGTGGAACCAACCAAAGTTCACTGCCTCTCCAGAACAGTCGGGGCTTTGATTGGTGCCCAGGCTGAAGCACCTCGGTGCTCTCAGGGCTTCCCGGGGGCAAGTCTCTGCTGACGAGCGTCAGCAGGTTTGTGTGAAGCCTCCACTGTGGCTCACTTTTTGAAGAAAACTTTAAAAGCACTTCTTCTGCCTTCATTTACTATAAAAAGCCATTAGGTATACTCTTCTGGACCATCTCCTGTTCTTAAACTGGATGGATGGAATTCTCCAGGTCACCAGCGGACTTCCTTGAAGTTTCTGCAGGCGACACTGATGCAACTGCTTAGAAGCTCCAGGTGGTTGGTCCCAGTTATGAAGAGAGGCCAAAGAATCACTGCTGCGCAGAATTTTAGTTTGGTCTGGAGCTGAGGTCACAGCTGCCCCCACCTCATTGGTTCCCCATAAAGCCAGGGTGTCTGGTGGGCTTGCGTTGTTGGTCAGCGAACAACTGGTGAGGGATGACAGTTTTAGTCGTTTCTTGAGGGAAAAACTCAAACTCTATGTGGGGTTCTCCCATTAGGCAGAGAGTCTTCAGGTCTGCTCTTAGTCTGTTTCTAAGTTTCTGCAGGGCTGTCCACCATCATTTGCACACTCTCACGAGCAGAGACCTTTCTCCCCGAGTCCCTGAGGACTGCCTATGACGCCCAGGATACCTGGCTCTCCCGCGTGCGTATCTGAAAACCATCTGTCACTAGCTTCTAGGCAGCCAATTGCTTCCTCCTGCACAGACGACGGAAAAGACCAGTTTCCTAGCCTCCCCTCAGTCTTCAGGGATGACAAACAGAAAAGACTCTGTGCAGTTCAACTATGAATAAAACCAACCACATCTCAGCTTGTCGATGAACTTCTCAGAGCAACACACACATTGGGGAACTGCCAGCTGACGGTATCAAATGCCTTTGCAAACATTCTGGAAAATGTGGGGGGGAAAATGCACTCTACACCTTTCCTTGTTCTGAAAAGCAACAAAAACTATGTCTTCTGCACTGTATTATTTAGTCACAAATGACTGAGAAAGTGCCTAAATGATCATGCTGTTCATCAGCCGACTGAAGAGAATTCTGGCTAAGATCTTTCGTCCCAGAAAGATGTCAAGACACGGCCTTAGTAGAAGTTCCTAATTTTTCTGAAGATGATGACGACGGAGTCATTTCTGACATTCTGTGGTTATTTACTCACAGATCTGTGTTTTAGAAGAGTTTATGCAGGCAGCTACCCAGCAGCTTTCTTTTATATTCAGGATAAAAGGAGCGTCAGACCCTGGAGCTGTAACATGCTTGGACTCCGGAGGTCCTCTCCCAAAGCTGGGCCAGGCTACCCTACTTCAGGTACTCCTGATTCACACGGACTTCACCATAAGCGTAGAAGTCCTGGTAGAAGTCAGGTATAACAGTACCTCTTCTGTGTTCAGCACTGTGTCCAGTGCTACCGGGATACAGAGTGATCCCTTGATGATCGAAGCATCTCTTTGGGGAGGGGGCATGACGAAAACTTTCATACACGAAACAACGGAGGATTAAAAGACAGTCTACAATCAATCAAGTGCTAACTTGTGGAGAAATGCATTTTGGAGTGCGATAGTGCTTTGCTTTCCGGATTTCGAGAAGGGAGAGAACGGTTTTGAATCATTGCCGCCATTTCAGTAGAATTTATCTCAGCGATGAGGATAGAACCATCTACATTTGTTGCAATCCTTTGGAACTGTAGACTGGTGCACATACCCTCTTTCAGGAAGAGCTAGAAATCTTTGGTTTGATACTGATCAGCACAGTCCTAGATTTCTATAGCTTTGGCAGGCTACCAGTGATCGTATATAACTTATCGTATATATAACTAGTTTCAGCAGCATGTCCCGATGCAGTTTGTTTTAACGGTTCCTTGCTTTTGAGAAATAAGGTAGAGCAAGATGTTGGCCAAGTAGGGCTTGTTTGCGGCAAGCAGCTAAAACCCCAGTATCGCCTTCACGGAGCCAATCTTGATCTTTCAATTCTATGTTGTGGTTGCTGAGTCCGAGAGCGCCTTAAAGGTATCCTCGTTACTGAAAAGCTTGACATTTGACTGTATGTGTGCTTTGATCTTGTACGGAAATACCGTGTGGATTCTCCATAGGACGAGCTTTTCCCTGCAGGGGCCGTATGGAAGGATTACATGCCCAGAGACGATGCAAAGGCGGAACACTGCTGATGGAACTACAAGGATCCTGAAGTGTGATTTTTTTTTCCTTTTAATCCGTTGAGGCCCTCTTTTTTTCCCCTCTGTGGGCACACATCTCTGAAGTAATTTTGGAAACAAAAGGGGGAAATGGCTTGTTGACGAATTCTCCTCGCTTTACACACAGCTTTTCAGGAATGCGCCAAAGGCATCGAGGGAGGCGGGGCTGTACTCGGAGGCCCGCTCTCTGGTGTGGATCCTGTGATGCAGAGTGAGGGTCGAGCTCCGGGTGAAGGCCTTGCCGCACTTAGTGCACTTATAGGGCTTTTCTCGGGTGTGAATCCTCCGATGCAAAATAAGGTATGAGTTTCGGTTGAAAGCTTTTCCGCATTCACTACATTCATAGGGTTTCTCCCCCGTGTGGATCCTCTGATGTTTAGTAAGGTCTGAGCTCTGGCTGAAGGCCTTCCCACACTCGTTACATTCATAGGGTTTCTCTCCAGAGTGGATCCGCTGATGGAGAATGAGATTCGAACTGTGACTGAAGGCTTTGCCACACTCGTTACATTCATGAGGTTTCTCTCCTGTGTGGATTCTCTGATGCAGGACCAGGTTTGAGTTAAGACTGAAGGCTTTCCCACACTCACTACATTCATAGGGCTTCTCTCCAGTGTGGATTATTTTATGGCGAATAAGGCTTGAACTCCTTGTGAAGCATTTCCCACATTCATCACATCTGTGGGACTTCGCTCCCGTTGGAGCTTCTTCAGGGGCGTTAAAGTTTGAACTCAGACTGAAGCTTCTTCCCAAACCCTTACCCTTCTCCCTTGGACCTCTCTCTCCCGCGGTGGGTTTTTTTTCCTTGACTGTAGCTGGCCCCGAATCTCTCTTTTCTCTTCCAGTTTTTTCCTCAGGGTTTCTCTGCTGCCTTTCTACTGTTCTGCCCTGCTGTTCACGTTTTTCTCCAAAATCTTTCTGGAATCTTCCTGTTGTCTCCCCCCGTGACACTGAGTCTTCTGCAATTTCAGCCTTTGAGGTTGACTCCTCATTCTCATTCCTGTTTTCACAACCTGACACAATAGAAAATACAAATGGCACCATTTTCTTTTGAATATGTGGGTGAATCAACTGACACTGTTCTCCTGGAAGCTTCTACACGCCTGCAAAATGACCTCACAGTATTAATCAGGGATAAAACAGAAGAAAAGCAGGGGGAAAGAGTCGGGACAACATGGAGTAGAGCTGGGGAAGGAGAGGGCGGGCTAAGTGGGAGGAGAGCAGGGGGAGCGCAGGGAGAGGATGGAGCCGCGCACATGCGGGTGGGGGAGAGCAGGGGGAGCGCAGGGAGAGAATGGAGCCGCGCACGTGCGGGTGGGGGAGTGAAGAGCAGGGGGAGTGAAGAGCAGGGGGAGCAGAACCAGTAAGGGAAGGAAGCGGGGGGGAGAAGGAACGTAAGAGGTCACAACTCACAGCTCTAGGATTTGGTCACCCAATTATTAATATGAAGGAGTATATGTTAAAAAAAATCATGTTCTGTTTCTAATATTAAGTATGAGTTTGAACAAAGAGAATGGACAGGCCCCCCTAGAAACAGTAAGCGGGACCAGCCCACAAAGGAAGGCATATACATGGTTAATAAAGGAAAAGCGAATACTCCGATTCCGGGAGATTTTTAACAAGGCCACGGTTAGTGGACAACACAGGAGCTCTCGACTTAGCAGGTCACTTGGATCTTCAGACACAGGAGTCTCTCTCCTCCAGCGAGAGCGGCAGAGCTGAGAGTGCTCAATTATCAGAGTGGAGAGTGAGGAAGTTGATTGGGGCATTAGTAAACGTGACTAAAACCTTCACTGACAGACCACTGAGAGTACCTGAGAACAGAAAAGAAACTGAGAACAATGCTGGATATGGCCCCTGAAGGAGATGATGTAAAAAACCAAAATCTCACAAACGCGAAGTTGATCCTGTCTTTTGGCAACCAGCACATTAAAACGTTGGAATACATCTTTATTGTAGTCTGCTAGATTCTGTGTGTCATTATTTTTAAATTGAGAGTGAAAACTGTTCAATGAACATGCACGTTTTATAGTTGTCTAGATTTATCTAGGAAAAAACCCAAGTTATCACAACAATTCTATTCTTTATTTAGTTGGCTTTAAGAGCCCTTTCCAAGTGGGTCTGCACTATCCCAAAGAGGCCCCCGGATGAAACCATGGAAAGCTAAATAGTATCTAGGCCCTGACTTTAGTGATGAAATCGCCGTAAATACCAAACCAACCGTAAGAAGAGGAAATCGGTCCACTTCTTTTGAATTCCAAGCCAAGGTCCTTGCTTATTGGGATAATTCCCAGACTGCCTCCAACTACTGTTTGCTTTTTGAAGTTATCATGGGGTAGGTAATACCCAGCTAAGAAACACAGATCAGTTCTTTGGCTTAGTGTTCAGAATCTGGTTCAAAGATCAAGTACCAAGGAACTACCACCTGGTTAGGTCTATGGTTCAAAACAAAACCTGAGGCTTCTTTAGTAACACTGTGTCTTCAGTTCCCTTCACTCACCCTCCCTCTGTCCTTGCAGGCAGAAGTCTCTCTGTGGACGATCCACGACACACCTTATTAGAGAGCTGCTTTGCAGTACTGTCTCCCAGGGAGTGAGGGAAGGGGACAAATGGGAATGTTTGTCAACTGGGTCAGCCTGTCTTATCTGGTTGATACCTCTGAGAACTTGTTTTTGTTCTTACTACGTGTCCGGGAGCAGAATTGTCTGTACAAGATCACCGTTAGGTTTGGAAATGGGGAGTCCTGATCGTAAGGGAGGTCACAGGCACAAGTCATGAGTAATTACACAAAGCTGTTGTGGAGCAGCGCTCACTGGATGGAACAAGAAAGCAAGCCCATGGAAGGATGCCTGTTAAGTCCAGGAATGTGGTCCTAGGTTAGGATTAGACTGATGATGATGAGGTCTCACTTGGACCTCTATAACAGGAAATACAGATTCTATCCCCTCGACAGAGGCACCTACATTACAACCGATGGGGACTGGAGACAAATCCTAGCTATCAGAGTGGTCACAGAGGTGAGAACTCAGAACGTAAGAGTATTTCTGATTTCAAACAGCAAAAACTACCTAAAAGTAAAAAAATCCACTTGGAATCAGGGAATCATAGTATCAGGCTTTGGGGTTTAAATGAACACAAACGTGTTCCTTCCCTATCTGGCCTGAAGAAAAGGGGCTCAGCAGTCTCTCAATCCTTGTCAACTCTCAACTGAACACATCAGAGATCCCACAACTAACGAAAAAAAGACACAAAACAATCTTAGACAATAATCCTGCATCAGTCTTACCCTGGGAAAACACGTTCCCATAATTCTCCTGCCTGTTGTCCCTATTGAGATTCCTCCGAGCCAGGTTCTGACATCCCCATTCCTCCAGGATGAGGGACACGGCCATGTCCTCGATCTTCACCATTGCCTGAAATAATATGAGATCCCCACACTCAGTTCTCCCACAGCTCAGGGACAATCCCATCACCCAAACTTGGAGTCAGGGACAGAGTTGACTGCAAGCCTGCAGGATGCTGGGAAAGAAAAGGGGATCATGCCAGGCTCTGGTGGATGGGGAGGGTGGGAGTGGGGCTAGTCTGTGGGAAGGGGCATCAAGACTGTGTCCGGGCTGGAGAGAGCTGAAAGAGCTCCAGGAAGAGAGGCAGACACGAGGGTCTCAGGAAGGCAGAGGGGCCCACTGCTCACCTGGGAATCTGCCGTGAATAGTGCAGATGCCATCGCCTGGTCTCTGGGACTCCCCTCGTGATGAGGGGCAGGAACATGGGTGGCAGGGAGAGCTGAGGGAGGAGAAAGGAGCTGTGAGTAAAACCAGCTCTGCTCTGGGCCTCCCCTCCAAGAAGGGCCCGGGGCACTCTCTTTCCTGCCCAGGCAGGTTTGATGTTCAGTGTTCAACTACAGAGACTTGCACGAAGAAAAAATATGACCTCTGCTTTTCCAAGTCACAAAAGGGTCCTTAAAATCACCTGGTCCAATCCCTTTAGTTTAAAGAGGGGGAAAACAAACACCGAGAAAGTAAATGACTTGCCTAATGTCACACGGCTAAGAATGCTAGAGCCAGAATGACAACCTGGCTTTCCTACTCTTCCTTACCTACAGAAGTGGGTAACTTCCCGTTCATGATTCAAGTTGGGTTCACAGTTTAATTTTCTCCAGTTCAAGGAACAGTACCAGAGCATCACAATCTCATTCAGTTGCAGAAAATATAACACGAACATTAACGATCTTTAGTAGTAATATCTTGAAACACAGGGCACAAAGGTGGTCTTTTCTGGCCATTTTTGGTCCTCCTACTTTTCTCCCTCACTTAGCCACAGTTTTTTGATTAAACGTATGCATGGTTCAAATGTCGATGAGACACCAGTACGCAGAAGCGTGGGTCGACACTGATCTAACACAAGACAGTCTATCAGACGATCAAACTGCAGTGTGTAACAACAACTATACAAATTTTTAAACCACAAAATTAAAATCTTCCCTCGCCAAGTAGTATTAGATTTGCTAACGTTACTGGATAAACAGAGAATGTTACTGAGCTGCAAAGACATAAGAGAAATGAATTGGAAATGGAATTACTAAACCTTGTAACTATTTCAGACCGTATAGTTATAAAACAAGCTAAAGCAAAATGTGCAGAAAGACCAAGTATCTAGCATCTTAACCTTCCGAGAATTAGGAAAGACTCTGGAAGAGGAGTAGTGCTGGGAGGGAATTAAGGATAACTGCATATGGCTGAATTACCTGGAGAACTATTTACTAAGTAGCAACTGTATGTGCCAGGGGCTCTAAACCTGCTATTCTGGTGCCAGGAAGTGCTAATGGAGCACTGAAAACTACAAATATTCTCTTCCATGTTGATTTCCCCCGTGGAGTGTGGAGAGACCTCGCAAGCCCTGTACACAGGACATGACTGGGACTGGATGGTCAGTGGTGGATCAGTCAGCACAACGCACTGATTTACAGATTCCTCCAGAATGCACAGAAAAGAATGTTTTCTGAAGCTCTAATATTCCTGCCTTAAATGTCAGCACAAATGAACACACTGGTTAAGGAACGTGCCTTTAGCAATGCTTCTTGAACAACTGGACTTTTAATATGATCTTGTTTTTACTGATATTCTATGTACCTAATTGAATAAACACATTGTTAATATTTCCCTCAAAGGAAAAAAAAATTTAAACTGATTTTTATGTATGACCCTGAAATGACGTTTCTCCTCCTATTCCTCAAACAAAAACAAAATATTTCCTTCCATCCTTTTCCCACTGTTTGAAATTTCTGAAAGCTAGAAAAAGATGTTATACGACAATTTTTATACATTTTAAATTAAATGAATTTAAAAAATGATCCTTTTCAAGGTAACTTATGACATTAACTAGAGTGTTTCAAAACCCAGGCTGGTAAATATATTACCTCTTCCCAGCAATTTCCTGTTAAAAAAAAAAAAAAAAAATCTGCTGGACATTCAAAATGCTAACAGTTCCAAGAACAATGTAATGTCCATCCAAGTTCATGATGTACATTTCGTTTACTTTCTTAGTAACATTAACTCCTGAGGCTGGTCTGTAAGTTAGATTTCCCCCAATATTTAGTAATAATGATAATGTGTAATGATAAAAAGACAAGCATGCTTTTTTTAAAAATTACAGGCCCCCAGCAACATAGAGAGGGCACCCCCATCCCAAATAGTTTGCTTTTCCCCCACATGAAACCTTGCTTCTTACCGCGTGACTGTAAGAGGCGAGGTTTCCGAGATGAATGCTTGAAATGGGACTGGGTGGCCTCATGATGAAGGTCAAAGCTTGAGGACTCCTGCACTGGATCCAGAGGCACCATCCCCCTTGCGAGCATTTCAGGTCCGTGAACTTGACCTGGGACCTGAGGACAAACAGGGTGGGCTTGTGGGTAAATCACTTTTTAAATGGGAATTTAAACAAACAAACAGATGGTAAGCAGACCAGCGGATTCACGAGAAGGAGGCCAGCACACCTTTCAGTACCCAAGCAGAGCAGAAAGAGTAACAAGAACAACTATGGCCAGCTTTAAATTGTAACTTGCTCTTTGTTCCAGGCTCAAAGCCCATGCGCTGCTTACACACAATCGGTTTCATCTCTTCTTACCTGCTGTCCTGATAGATCAAGCTCCAAATCTTCCAGAAGGGTCACGGCCTCCTCCCCACTATCGGGACGGTATTCCTGCAGCCAGACTTGGAGCTCCTTGGGCAGGATGGAAAGGAACTGCTCCAGCACCAGCAGCTCCAGGATCTGCTCCTTGGTGTTGATCTCCGGTCGTAGCCACTGATGACAAAGTTCCTTCAGTCGACTCAGAGCCTCTCGAGGCCCAAACGTGTTCTGGTAACAGAAGTGCCTGAACCGTTGGCGGAAAATCTCTGGGTCAGGAGGAGGCGTCTCCTGCAGGCTGGAATCCTGCCCCCACATGTGGTCTTCTTCATCTTCCTCTTCTACCTTCACTATTACGATCCCATCCTTCTCCTGGGCAGCCTGAGGGGACAGACCTGTGGCTTCCCTTGACTCTGCAGTCATCATTCAGGCTCGGGGGCAGACTTGATCCAAATAGGGTCGGGGCTCTCCTTCCTGGCTTACGAGATGTTTGCTGAAATGTTTCGGTGCTGTTCCTGACACAGTAAACAAAATTATTAGTACCTTTATAAAAAGTGACCTGTATTAGCACTTCACACAAGGCCGCACATCGAAGCACTGAAAACACCTCTGAAGAGCAAAAGAAAAAGCCTCCAGAGGCACGCTGTTTTCACTGTCACTTTATATATTAAGGTTTGCAGAGGGGTTCCTGGCTACCTTTGGTCGGTAGAGCAAGTGACACTCTTGATCTTGGGGTTGTGAGTTTGAGCTCCACACTGGGTGTAGAGATTACTTAAAAATAAAACCTTAGAGCGCCTGGGTGGCTCAGTCAGTTGAGTGCCTGCCTTCGGCTCAGATCATGATCCCAGGGTCCTGGGATCGAGTCCCACATTGGGCTCCTTGCTCAGCAGGGAGCCTGCTTCTCCCTCTGCCTGTCGCTCCCCCTGCTTGTGCTCGCTCTCGCTCTGACAAATAAATGAATAAAATCTTGGGGTGCCTGGGTGGCTCAGTTGGTTGGGCGACTGCCTTCGGCTCAGGTCATGATCCTGGAGTCCGGGGATCGAGTCCCGCATAGGGCTCCCTGCTCGGCAGGGAGTCTGCTTCTTCCTCTGACCCTCCGCCTTCTCATGCTCTCTCTCTCTCATTCTGTCTCAAATAAATAAATAAAATCTTAATAAATAAATAAATAAATAAAAAAATAAAATAAAATCTTAAAAAAAAAAGTTATTAAAAATAAAATCTTAAAGGGGCACCTGGGTGGCTCAGTCGGTTAAGCATCTGACTTAGGCTCAGGTCGTGATCTCAGGGTTTTGGGATCGAGCCGTGTTGGGCTCCCAACTCAGCAGGGAGTCTGCTTGTCCCTCTCCCTCTGCCTGCCTCTCCCCTCGCTTGTGCTGTCTCTCTCTCAGATAAATAAAATCTTAAAAAAATTTTTTTTTGCAGAGAGAAACCTCATCTCATTTCCTCCCACAACGGCCCTAGCAAAGAGGCACACTGCTAGTGCCTTTTTTTTTTTTTTAAAGGTTTTATTTATTTATTTGACAGAGGGAGACACAGCGAGAGAGAGAGAACACAAGCAGGGGGAGTGGGAGAGGGAGAAGCAGGCTTCCCGCTGAGCAGGGAGCCCTCTGCAGGGCTCGATCCCAGGACCCTGGGATCACGACCTGAGCTGAAGGCAGACGCTTAACGACTGAGCCACCCAGGCGCCCCTGCTAGTGCCACTTTACAGATGGTGTGTTGCGACTGACATCAACACTCTCCCTTGGTTCAATGCCGAACTGTCCCACGTCACCGAGTGTGTCCCAAGGAAAAAGTGGGAGTCTCCCTCCCCCACACAGAGCTGCCAAAGTGCCCTCATTTCCCTTGCGCAATTTTAGGTATTGTGATATTTCCCAGTTTATCTGAGACCAGGTATGTGGAATAATGGATTATTTTATCTAGCTTGAATGAATCCTGCCTTCATAAAAAAGACAAGTACGGGGGCCGGGCAAACGGGGTGAAGGGGGTCAAATGATAGATTCCCAGGTCTAAGATAAAGAAGCCATAGGAATACAATGTCCAATGTGGTGACTAGAGTTAATAATACTGTGTTGCATATTTCAAAGTTGCTAAGCGATCTTAAAAATTCTCATCACAAGGAAAAACATTCTGGGTGCCTGGGTGACTCAGTCGGTTAAGCGTCTGCCTTCAGCTCAGGTCATGATTCCGGAGTCCCAGGATCGAGCCCCACAGCGGGCTCCCTGCTCAGTGGGGAGTCTGTTTCTCCCTCTGACCCTCCCCGCTCTTGTGCTCTCTCTCTCACTCCCTCCCTCTCAAATAAGTAAATAAAAATCTTTAATTAAAAAAAAGCAAAAGAAGAATTGTAACTGTGGTGACAGATGTTAACTAGATTTACTGTGGTGATCATTTTGCCCAAATATCATTATGGTGTATATCTGCAACTAATATATTGTTATATGTCCAATTATAGCTCAAAAGAAAAGAAAAAAGACAAGCAGCTTAAAGACTCTGGCAGAGAAACTACAATTTGAAGAAATACTAATGGTACAAACACACGTGAAGAAACAACTGGCACAGATAAAGCTTCTATCTACAGAAGGTTTTACTCACCCAGATTAGGAGATAAAAACCAATGTCAATCTAAATCAAACACTATGTCAACCAATAAGTGACAAAGTAGCTACTTTAGAAAAAAAAGTGCAAGGAAAGTCGATTAGCTTTTTTTAAAGTAGGCTCTATGCCCGACGTGGGGTTTGAACTCACGACCTGCAAGATCATGCCCTACTGACTGAGCCACCCAGGCACCTCACTTTTTTTTTTTTTTTT